CAAGGCGCTCATTGGCTGGACCAGTGGCAACAGTGTCAAATCACATGACCAGGTCATCACCAGTCACGTGTTACATCCAACCCTGTTGGGAAATGGCAACTCCAAAGATGACACACTATTGCCTCGCGTTCCCTGGAGCAGCACCACTATACAGTACTAGTATAGCTACTAGTACAGCTGTACTCCACTACTACTACACCATGGTGAACCCCCTCACCCGGTGCGTGGAGGACTACTCGCTGCCCCCCTTCGCACAGCTTCGCCCTGACGACATCGCGCCCGCCTTGCGCACAGCCATGGCCGAGTTCGCGTCCGACTTAGTGGCCATCGAAGACGATTTGGCTTGTCCGGACGCTGAGATCTCGTGGGAAAGTGTGATGGATCGGCTGGAAATCATCGACGATCCGCTCGAGAGGCTGTGGAGTATCGTGACGCAACTGATGCAGGTGGTGAATGTGCCCGAACTTCGAGCTGCCCATGCCGATGTGCAGGAAGAAATCGTTTCACTGCAGAGCAAGCGAGCCCAAAGCCTCGTGGTGTTTCAAGCTATGACCACGCTGCGACACAGTGCGGCCTACGAGTCGTACACTACCGAGCAACAGGTATATGTAGTACGTGTGTACGAGGAGGAGTCTAGTGCAATCAAATTTTCCCACTATTACTGTAGGATATAGTTCCGACGACGACGACAACTAGTATGTACTAATGTACTAGGATGTGGTAGCGCATACTAAATCGAGCGATTCAACGAGCGACGTTGCGGGGCGTCAACCTTGTCGACAATGCCAAAGATCGCTTCAATGCGATTCTTGTCCGCCTCAAGACATTGGTACGAACTTGTACTATATATAAACTCGTCTTTTCATATATTATATATATATTCATTTTATATTTGTTAGAGCACCACACACGCCAACAACGAATTAGATGGCACGAGTGCTTATTCTCTCATTGTCACAGATCAAAGTCACCTCGAAGGCGTCCCGTTGTCGACCAAGTCGTTGTTGGCCCAGGTAATAAATATTTCCCATCATTCCCACAATACTTTTGCAAATAATCACACCCCAATATATATCTGCCCAATGAATATTTCGAAACTTTGGTTCAAAGTACTTCCAAGACTTGCTGTGGTTATCACCTATTTTGGACGTCTGGGTCAAACTGAAGTAACGAATGATTCACAGATATTGCCCACTGCGGATTTGTTCGAAATTGCCAACACATTGACGATTTTGGCCTTTTGTTTTACATATCCAAACTCACCGTACCTCTAAATATACTGATGAAAACGAATGGATTTGAATGCTATAGAATGCTGTGGCGGCCGGCCACGTCGGAGCAACCAGTGAAAACGGCCCGTGGAAGCTATCGCTCGAGCTCCCTGTATACAACCCCGTGATGAAATTCTGCTCGAACCGATCGATTCGAGAAACGCTGTGGCATGCCTTCAACGTCAAGGCCAACGCGAACGAACTTGTGGTGGTGGAGATGCTACAGCTCCGCCACGAGCTAGCCCAATTGCTTGGGTTTGCAACGTTTGCAGAGCTGAGTTTAGCCAACAAAGTCGCGCCGTCCGTCGACGCGGTGCTCGACACGCTCGAGGAGTTGCGGGACAAGGCACTTCCACGTTCGCAAGCTGAGCTGCGTCTGCTCGAAGAGTTTGCAGCTAGTCACGACCATCCATTGCCCCTGCAGCAGTGGGACATTCCGTATTGGTAAAACAATTCCTTTTTTTGTCACATTCAGTATGTATATATATATAATAAGAGCACTAGTTACAAATGAAATCGTTGGTGGATACATTATAGGATGGAACGATTGCGAGTGGAAAAATATGATATTGACGACGACGCGGTCCGCCAATATTTTCCCTTGCCCAAGGTAATCCTCACACAACGTGTTACGGTTACTATATACTCACATCCATATATTATATATAAAAAAGGAAGTGTTAATGATGAATTATACATTATAGGTGCTGGACGGATTGTTCGACTTGGTGTCGCAATTGTTTGCCATTCAAATCGAAGTACGTACTGAACATGTTGTTCCGATTGAAATTGGGTCACTTGACTATTGTACGATGTAGGCAGCGGATGGCTTGGAAGAAACGTGGCATCCTGACGTACGTTTCTTTCAAATTCGAGCGATGGACCAGCCTGAGACGCCCGTCGTGGCCCAATTCTTCTTGGACCCGTATGCTAGACCTGGCCAAAAGCGGCAGGGATCGTTCGTGGAGGTGGTGGTTAGTCGCAGCAAAGTCCTCCGCACTGCCAAAGCCCCCGTGCGACTTCCCGTGTTCTCGATTGTGCTCAATCAGACACCTCCAGTACGGAATTAATCTATATCTTAGATATATATATCCATCCCCCTTCTATCTGTGTATTTTGGCTACACTTTCCTTTTTGTGAAGATTTATTCCGTTTGATTCTTGTGGAGTGTTGGTTTTCTACCGTATTCGTATGTTCGTTAATCTGCACCATGAAGTATATAAATAAAACGTGAATATGATAGATATCTCAAAGTAATCTCGAATCAAATATACAACTGGAATAATTAAATAAATTGTTCAAATTTCATGACTTTATACGGTAGTTTGATGTACAGGTAGATGATATAAATAATATATATATACTAGTAGTCTAAAATTTTACTGTATGGATCTAACATCTAGGTGGGGGACACGCCCAGCTTGATGACGTTTAACGACCTAGCGTTGCTGTTTGGGCGTGTGGGTATCGGGCTGCGTATTGCGCTCACGTCGGCCGAGTATACGGCGGCGTCGGGGATGGAGGGCATTGAAATGGACGCGCTCGCGGTGCCAGTGGCGATGATGAAGCGATTTTGCTACCACAGCGGTACATTCCAATTCAAATCTATATATATTGTCGATTCAGTCAAAATCTGGACTTTTGTGCTGATTTGCTAAATCCATCCATTGAATTTATGTACTGAATTTTGTATGTCGAAACGTGTGTGATACTGTACCATCACACTAATTTAAGTCACACACTATTAGTTGTTGATGGGTTGAATTGATGATGTCCTGCATTGTGGTTGGCTAAATTCTACTGCTGATCCTTCTGCACATTTGGTTGTGTCGATATATTCCAGTTTTGAATAATATATTTCTCCCAAATTTCACAGTGAGTCATGTCACCAAATCGCATTCGAATCCATTTGATCCAATTTAAGCTTGTCCAAATTAGACTTTACAACGATTAGTAGTAGTATATCAGAGACTGGTATAAATCAAACATTTGGTTGGCAGAATGATTTGATTGGCTTTGGCGGGTCGTCTGTGGTCCCTTTCTCCTCTCAACACATTCGATTCTGCTGACGGCTCCAGTTTCGAATCGATTGGACAATATATATCGTCACCATGTTATTTTGTATGGCGAGTAGACTTTATCCAGAGCATTTCGAGCCATTACCAAACCCACCAGCCCCTTCCACAAACGGACTTGGACAAGATTGTCGCTGCCAAACGATTCATGGCGGGCACGACACTAACACGGCAGCTCAGCTTAGCTGTCATAGATCTGTCCGTGCATCACCATCATGGAACCTCGGCCACGATTACTGCCGACTCGACAGACGCGCTGGTGGAAAAGATCAAACATGAGTACGTACAGTATTAATATTTATTCTAGACATGTCCTTTTGATTTTGATGAAATAATACATTAGTCTATTACTGCGGACTACTACAGTATTAGTACTTACGAGAAATAATATATATATTTATTGCTGCGGACTACGTACTAGGTTCAGTGCCTTGCCCGAGGTACACGCACGGGACTACATGCTGTGCCATTTTCGGCATATCTTTCACGGCGAAGTGGAGGCTGCGTATTACAAGTACAGTACACTAGTATAATATTTATGTTGGAATATTTATACTATTTTAATCATCGCAGGTATATCTGGTCTGAAATCCAAGCCCACGACGCTTATGCTTGCTTTGAAGACACACAAGGCGACCTCCCCGCTTGGAAAGCCAATGGCAAGCGGTTCCGAGATACGATCTTGGCCCTCTCGGGAGTCCTCCACCCCACAAAGGCGTTTGAATTGTTTCGAGGTCGAAAACTGCACACACATGCAATGCTGGAGCAATACGGGCTGCTATAAGAGTATAATATCCGACATTCATACTTGGTCGTTCGTCTTCGACTGTCCGTGTAATTATGCAAAAAGCATGTCAAGGGGTGGTTGTGACGACGGCTCCTTTGTAAATCTGTAGCCTCGGCAAGAACAATCGTAACGTACAACGTTAAACGATATACCAATGGACGACGCACTCGGAGTACTATTATGACCCGATCAAGTTGGACTTTTTTCCTATCAATAACGTGGTTAAATATATAATGTGACGCAAATTTGGTGCCATAGCTTTTTTCATACTTTTTTCATACTCCGGACGAGTCAACACAAGGATGAGGGAATCACAGGAAGAAATCGGGGAGACACACATGTGTATTAGACCTCTTGACGAATGATCAAACCTCTATTCAGTGGCCAATTACATTACGTACACCCATGTGTTCTTGGATGGACTTTCATGACTGGCCAGTCATTCGGATATTTATAACGTTATGACCGATTGGTCCCTCGATCATCGCGTGTACGGTTAATGATTTATCAGTCATTCACTAATTTCGGAAATCACTCGATGATTTCCAAGAACACTGATTGGTCACAAGAACGTTCAGTAATCTACTAATAAACCCCGCAACTCCGAAAATAGAAAAATAAGGTGAACTTCATCAGAATCTCATGACAATTGAAGTCATGCCTGTGGATGACTGTGGCGGTGATTATACTTTGGTGAAAACACGAAATTGACCAAAACACGACAGTTGTGAAGCATCCCTCACAATACCTCATTACGAATCGTCTAATAAACCCCGAAACCCCGCAAACCCGAAACTCCGAAAATAGAACCTAGCTGTAATCAGAATCTCATGACAATTGAAGTCATGCCTGTGGATGACTGTGGCAATGAACTAAAGATATCCTTGTTTTGTATCCCGCTTCTTCTTGGCTTTCGACCACAGGACCTTCGTCAAGGTAGCAAATATAACATTGACATTAGTGAGGTTAAACACACCACGAGGTGCCTGCTGACTACCATTCACTAAAATACTCAGTACTTCCACTAAGGTCTCGGAACCATTGACACGGCACACACACAGAGTGTGTGCGTTTGCAATAGGTCAAACCGACGCGCGACCCAATTGCTCTGCACGCTGCAGAACACAAGGTTAATTGATTAATTGAGTTTTGGATTATAATTTTTAAGATTCCTCCGCGAGGCCCGATACTAGAACCACATGTTGTGGTACCGCTTCGCCAATTGCAACGCTCCAGCTCGACCGGGTGTAACTTCGATTTTACTTCGCTCAACGCTTCATACTGTACCTCGTGCTTCGACCGTTCTTCTTCGAAGTACGGTCCTTGTCTTCGTACGAAGCCCTTGTTATCCGGATTCTCCAGGGGAGGGACGAATAAATCCTTTCGGAAATAATCCGGGGAAGCCTAGGATCGAACCGACGACCTTTGAGTTAACATGTAAGAAACCGATGCTCTACCACTAAGCTATTTTCCTTCCCCTGCAGAACACAGGGCGAACGTTAACGTTACTGGTTCTTTTGAAGGGAAATGATTACGTAAGCAACAGCGGAGCTGGTACTGTGAGGGAATTACTGTAACGTCCACCTAGAAGAACCTTGAATCCCATCAACGTCAGCAGTGTCATCGTATGTGGTGAATTACCATATGCAATTCCCCGTGAACTCCATCCAAGTACGTACTGCAAGATTCACCAAGTGTCTGCGTCCACAACAACCATTAGTGTACCGGTATGTACTGTACTTTACATGTACCTGTACGAAGTAAGAGCCAAATCTGGTTCAACATGAATTCAAAGAGCATCTGATCTGATCACTGTGCTGCGCCTATTTATAGCCTGAACGATTGACCAAACTATTTCACTTGTCAGAGGGTTTGTATGGAGGGTACAACTATTTCGACCAAACTAACTCAACAGTAATGACAATAATGTGGTCGAGCGAGCGTCAGGCCTCTTCCTATCAGGTGATGTTGTTTCGTGTCCACCTGTTGGTGAAAATGAGATCCTCGTTTCCTTGCTGTATCACTTACAAATACGCTGACTCGCTGAGATCCATGGTGAATCCACTGACGCGATGCATGGAGGACTACGGCTTGCCGCCGTTTGCTACGTTCCACGTGCGGGACATCGCGCCCGCCGTCCGCGCCGCCATCTCCGAGTATGCGCTCGACCTGAACGCCCTCGAAGATGACCTGTGCGACGCTGACGACTTGTGCTGGACATCAGTCATGGACCGCCTCGAAATCATCGACGATCCGCTCCGCCGCCTCTCGAGCATCCTCGAGCACCTGTCGACTGTTGCCAACTCGCCCGAACTCCGCGCCGCCCAAGACGATGTCCAGGAAGACATCCTCGCCATGCAGAGTCGACGCGCGCAGAGCCCTGTGGTATTTCACGCAATGCAAACCCTCCGCGCCAGCCCAGCGTTTGACTCGGAGTATACGACCGAGCAGCAGGTACGAACTTCACTTTGCTTGTCGTGTGGGTAGTAGTAGTATTACTAGGACAAAAAAACGAATGAAAACTGTAGCGCATTTTGGATCGGGCGATCCTTCACGCGACGTTGAAAGGGGCGGCGTTGGCTCCACACGACAAGGACCGGTTCAACGATATTGCCCTGCGCCTCGATACCTTGGTACAGCTGATTCTCCAATTCTCTCGTCGGTCGATCAGGTCTTTGTGTTACTGAGTTTTGCATGTAAAAAGTTGTCCTGGGGGAATTGGAATCACACTAATTGAAGTCACACACTACTTAGATCCTGTTGATTGCAATCCGATTCGCTCAATTTATCTGCCGATTCTTGTCCACATTTGGTCGTGTCGAATCATTCTCCATGTCACTCTGTTTAAATACACACAACACTACTATATCTTGCGTTGTTTCTGGCTTTGTTGCAGTGGTGTATAGTGTGTCCAACTAATAATAGGTCTTGTGCCTGCAGCCAAATTTTGGATGGTTGTGCTGATCCGCCATCGATTGTTTAGACTAAAGTTTGTATTGTATAAAGTTGGTGAAGCCATGCACACGATTTGAAATCTCAAACGAATTCGATGGTTGCAGGAGTTTCAGGAGTGGCTACTAAATTACTGTTCTGTGTTTTGATTGGTCGATCATCGATTGCCTTCGATTGAGCACATTCGATTCGACCTGACAATATATTAAAATTGCTGCATATATTGTCGATTTGATACAAATTTGGGGAGGGGGTGCAATCGAATCGCGCCGACCAAACCGATCCACAATCGATCTGATTGGTTGAATTTCATTGAGAAGGTTTTGATTGGTTAATAATTTTGAGCACATCTGAAGTAGCCAATCAAATCGATTTAAATTCCAACGAGAAACCACGCCACAACACGAAGTTTCACTCGAAAGCACAATACTAATATTTTTCTTTTTGTCCGCGATAGAGAAAGAAATTTGGGGAAAATGTTCTGGATGCAATTCAATCGTTTTCGCGGATCGTCACTGACAAAACCGAGCTCCAAGGGGTTTCCGAGTCGACCATGGCGCTTTTAGCCCAGGTACAGTGTACATTCGATCGTTTGATATGGATGGAATAAACCCTGCATTGTCTCCCGCTATACAGTATATATATATATATATATATATATATATATATATTTGTAGTTATATATATACACTTTGTCTGTTCGTCAAGGCATGAACCGTGTTTGTTTTCCATGAATATAAACAACTGTCGTCGTGGGTTCTTAGATATCCCTTTTTTAATATACCGGTATATATGTGGGCTTAAAAATAGATTAATATATTATTATTTTGCTTGTGACATATCTATACAAAAGAAAACAATTCATTAAAAAATATATATATAAAAATACAAGGAAATATACCACAAGCACCCCTTGAATGACCAACCGCGGCACCTGTTTAGATGGGTTTTATATTCCAGTAGAAGTTTCTACTGCCTCTTATACTGTACGATGATCCGATCTCTAGACAACTACTTGAATGAGTGCTAATTAATACCCCTTCTGGATAGAGTTCTCCCCTCTTATTACTGTAATCACCATCCCCCATATGATTGTAGAATGCGGTGGCGGCAGGCCACGACGGCGCGTCAGCGGCGGCAGGTCCGTGGAAGCTGTCGCTCGAGTTCCCCGTGTATATGCCCCTGATGAAGCAGTGCACCCACCGGCCCACAAGACAGCTGCTATACGGGGCGTTCGTTTCCAAAGCCAGCACTCCCCCGTACGACAACGCGCCTGTGATACGGGAGATGCTGCAGCTGCGACAGAGTCGGGCTCGGCTGCTCGGGTTCCGCACATTCGCCGACCTGAGTCTCCAGGACAAGATGGCGCCGTCGGTGGCCGTGGTCGAAGACATGCTCCGTGCCCTGTGCGACAAGGTGCTGCCATTGGCCAGAGCTGAATTGGACGAAGTGCAAGTATTTGCAGCAGCCCATGGTCACGTCCTGCCGCTCGCCCAGTGGGATATTTCGTATTGGTATGACATTGCTTGCACTGTTGTTTGGTAGTCTGATGATGTGTTGATTCATAGTAATTGATGGGATCTATATATATATATAATATACGAAGTATTGTCCTTGTACCCAAAACTTGGACTTTTGTGCGGATTCGCCAAATCTACCAAGTCGATTCTTGGTACTGAATTTTGTATGTACCTTACAGCATTGTCCTGAGGTGATTGACGTAATTTCTACTAATGTTTATAATGATCTCCCACTCAATTCTCGTCGGTACATTAGGTTGTTTCGATTATGCCGATCCCGATTAGGAAAAACGCAAAAATATATATATACTCTAATGATATGATCATATGTAGGTCTGAAAAGTTGCGGAAAGATCGCTACGAAGTCGACGACGAATCCATCAAGCCTTATTTTCCCTTTGCTCGGGTATAATCTATATATATATATATATATTGCTGTAGGAATCGGCCTAGAGTGTATTGCATATTATAACTATATGACCCATAAATAATATATATATATATCAATCAGCGTATGCCTGGGTGTGTGTGTGATGTAGGTACTAAATGGGCTGTTTAACCTGTGCTCGGAACTGTTTGGCATTCAAATCGAGGTATATATATATATATATATATAAATCCAACGACCTACTGTTTTTGGTCGTATGATTCATAGTATGATTGACCGCAACGTTAGGCGGCAGACGGCCTTGAAGAAACGTGGCATCCGGACGTCCGGTACTTTCAAATCCGAGCCATGGACGAGCCAAGTACGCCCGTGATTGGGCACTTTTACGTGGACCCGTATACTCGACCAGGTCAAAAGAACGCCGGCACGTGGTGTGATACGATTGTCAGTCGCAGCAAAGTCCTTCGAACGGACAAAGCCCCTGTGCGACTTCCCGTGTTTAGCTTGTCGTGCAACCAGCCCCCTCCGGTTTGATATATATATATATTAACCATGTTGTTGCTCCCTGTTTCTGCTTGACAAACAAATAAAAAACGTTTATAAAACAGTATCGCAGGTGGACGCGGCCAGCAGTGGACTGATGGCGTTTGGAGGCGTCCAGAACCTGTTTCATACGTTTGGGTATGGTTTGCGCGATGTATTTACGTCGGCCGAGTACACGGCGGCATCGTCCGCGGACGGCATCGAATACGACGCGATTGAGATTGCGCCCCAGTTTTTGTCGCTGTTCTGTCATCGTCGAGGTAGACAGGTTCCTCCTCGTGTCGTCTTATTATTTTTTGTGTACTATTTAAAAGAAATTTGGGAATAAAATGTATATTAGAAACCCTTCGGATGATCTCGGGTCATGTTGAAACGGGCGATCCACTGCCCGACGACTTGATTGACAAGATGCTCGCGGCGCGTAATTTTAAAGCCGCCACGAACTTGCTCTACCAGCTCCGACTTGGGGCGACAGATATGGCGCTACATCACCACTACGATCCGTATTCGTCTGACAAAACCATCTTTGACGTGCAGCAAAGCATTGTCGAGAGGTACGTGGTGACGAATATATTATATGCCCACTGAGCAAAACACAGAAAATATATTCATGTCGATTTTTCAATGTACTAATGTTTGTACAAAAACAGAGTATAGTTATGTCGATGTTGCAGTGGATGTAAGTACAAAAAAAACAGAATATATTCATGTCGATTTTCGAACGAATAGAATCTCGTCACGAATATTATGTATATAATATATATATATGAAACCTCTATTTTTAATTTCGAATCAAGAATAAACAGACCTTTATGTTTCATTTTTGTTGATATACAAAAACAGAATATATATTATATTCATATCGATATTTATTCAATGCACAAAACGTTAACGATTTCTTGTGTCACTAGCTTTTCGGTGCGACCTCCATGTGACCTGGACATGCACATTTGCAGCTTTAGTCACTTGTTTACGTTGACGTATGGCGCGGGGTATTACGCGTACGTTCGACCAACATCTTATACATATACAGTATAAAAGTGATAGAAATGTATTGACAAGAGATACTATATCCTGTGTGGTAGATACATTTGGTCCGACATGCTCGCCGCCGACACGGCTGCTTGCTTTGACACGACAGACAAAGCGGAGTGGCAGCGGTGGGGCCGCCGGTTCAGAGACTCTGTTCTGGCCAAACTGGGCATTCTAGAGCCCATGGCAGTGTACAAATTGTTCCGCGGTCGGGTGCCTCAAACGGACGCTCTGCTCGCCCGCTATGGGCTTCAGTAATAATAAACTACTGTGTCACATATACATTTATGACTCTGTCAAATATCGCAGGCAGTGTACTAACGTTAGTATGACAAGCCATTATAATTAGCATCGCGATGATCATGATAATAAACATCGCCGTGATTACAGTAACGAGACATCTACACTACACTACTGGATCCGCATTTACGCCACGCGTTGCAAAAGGTTTCGACAGAGATGTCCATACCGCGTCTCGTTGTGCAATCCACTTCAAAATGAGCTCGCGTGTCGAAGATGGTACTACATCATGTCTCATCATGTCTGCTGCGGCGTAGGATAGCACTGTTTTTGGGAGTTTTTCAATAGATAGGTGGAAGTACCGTGCAATTGGATGGCAGGCTGAGAGATGATCGTTTAGCCGGCCGCGAGGGTGATGGGCACCGGATCATTCTTGAAACTATGCGGTGGTAGTAAAACTTGCTGAGTTGACAAGCGACGCTCTGGTCAGTTGGTCTTGGTTGGCAGATGTCGATGTCAACATGCCACTGTCTCTAGGTAGTTTTCGCGGTTGACGCGAGGAGGAGAGAGTTGGGGACCTGCTACCATAGCCGTCGGTAGTTGGCTTGGTCGCGCAGTGTATGGAGGACGTGGAGGGCAGAAGTGCGGATAGGGCATTCACGGTCCTGCAGGCGCAGCTTCCGTCGAACGGAGGGCATCCAGCCAAGCAACGACAGCTCGAACCAATGGGGCAATAGCAGCGGGCTGGCATCTGTATACTGGACCTTGTTGTGTTGGGTCCATATGAGGTTGAGAGTCGAGGCCGTGAGGAGGATCCAAAGGGTCTTGACGGCGTCCTTGTGGCGGTCACCGCGCGAGTTGACCGTGAAAAGGTCCAGGTCCGAGATGGTGGACCATGTAAACGGAGCACCAAAGGGTCTCCAGGCATCACGGTGGAACGACCATACAGGGTGGATTCGAGGGCAGGCATGGAAAGCATGGTGCTGGGTCTCCACCTGACCACAGCCGTAGGTACAGCAGATAGCGTCAGGTCGCTCAACCTGGAGGTAGGCAAAGCGGCAGTTGACCGGTAGCATGCGGAACAGAAGGCGGAGCCACACATCTCAATGCAATGGTGGTGGCAGGCGGCAGGTCCGTCGAACTCGCCGGACATAGCTCTGGATGAGGGCAGTGGTGGTCCGGGTGGTGCTGGTCATGGGATGGCTCACCTCGGATGCTGGAGCGTGGTAGGCCAGGGCTACGACCATGGGTCGTGGCCAGAGCTCAAATGGCGTTGGGGTGTCCTTGACCATGCCATAGAATGGGTGGCGAGTTGATTCGGGGACGGGGACAATATTTGGAGGGAGCTGGTGGAGTCCCTGGACCTGGGTGTGCATCCTCGTGAGATGGTTGTAGATCATCCCGGAGCGGTGCACCGGGGCCCAGTGCATGTGGCCATCGCGGTTGATCTCCACCGGGGCCGCTGGGTTGCCCTGGGACATCATAACCATGAACTCGGGGCGAGTCGGCCAACGCCCATGCACCGCAACGACATCGGCTAGGCAGCGTAGCCGGTTGGCTGCACCGTGTTTGCACCATCGCCACGTGGGGGAGGAGTGAACCATACAGACGACGAGGGACTTGAAGCCTCATCGAAGTTTTGAGTGTCACACACTTTTTTTGGCCAATCAGCAGCACATCACGAAATACTTTAATTTCTATTCGTGAATTTTTATAATATGTTTCGAATTTCGAACTACGCTATCCATCATATCGTGAAATTTGCGCTACACATAGAACTTCGATGAGCCTTAAAATCCCTCGTCGTATGTACTAGCTGCACACATTCCATTCGCCATGGTGGGCTCGTAGGTAGTGAGCCACACAGGCAGATGCATTGTGGTAGCGGGAGTGAGAGGGAGCTGCATACGAAGGTTGATTGGTGTAGCTGACCATTGGCTCCACACGTCAATCCACAGTGGATGGACTTCCCACAGCATGAGCCACTTCGAGCTGGGATGCGGGTGGTACAGCAGGAAGTCGTATGGGTTGGATGCACGGTAGAGCTGGCCCATGCTCCGCTCAAACTGCCGGAGAACCAGTGGTTGCCACAGGGGACGGTCAGCAGTCGACTGGGTCATGGCGCGCTGAAGGAGCTGCAGCCGCTGGGATCGAATCCTAGACGCGACGTGAGGGAGACCGAGGCCCAGTTTGTGGACCGCGAAGGATGGAAAGCAATGGGGGTCCGTCAAGCGTTTAGAGTACGCCCAATCTTCCCCACAGTCTTTCAAATATGACATTGTAAAAGCCACGCGGGTGGCTTCGTCGGAGATGCACTAGACGTCAGCAGCAGTTCTGACTTGTAAAATCCAGCGGAGGAGTTTGTCGGACTCCACCCCGCCGAATTTGGCAACATCCAGCTTAATCGGCTTTAGCCGAGGAGCCGATGGGGTGTCCGAAGACTCCAAAGCCTGCGTCAGGCGCGCAATTTAGTCTTGAGCAATTCGCAGAGAATCTTGGAGGGCTGCGACCATGTGTCGTCATAATGGAAGCCTGCTCTTCTAAGGTCGCCGTTGTCTCGCGCGCGACGCGGATAGAATCTTCAAGGTTTTGCCCGTGCGAAGACATTTGAGCGACTTGTTCTTTCATTGTCGCCTGGGTATCTTGGATGCTGCCGTAGCTTCAGCGATAGAGAGTTCGATCGTGCTACCGATGCCTTCCACAAGGCGTGCTTGGTTGTCGGGAGTCATGCCGCTGATGAGTAGCGCGGTATCTTTGTCGCCAAAGCCGCGACGCAAAAGAGCACGTCTGATGGCGCTGCGGTATTGGTGGAGGACATAGTGTTTGGTCGACTGACGAAGTGGAGTGCTACCAATTGTGAGCGTGCGCAGATGAAGGCGCAAGGGATCGGAAGAACACCTTGGTCGCGCAAGAGGACTTCTTGGTAAGCGAAAGGACACCTTGGACTGAAGAGGTGTCGACTAGTCATCCGGATGAGAACCGGATGATGGGCACGGTTACAGTACAGCTCATTGATGAACCATGCACCATGCACAGTATACGGTGTACACTTAAGCGATTGTTTGTGTTGTACGTAGTGGTATGTCCTTAGTTTTCAACACTGTAGCGGGAATGCTACAGGTACAGTAGAGTAACAGTAAGTCTGTACGCTGAAAGTGTCACTTCATCTGGCGTTACTCATAAGCATATGGTATTGATCAGCCAATCTCAGACAAGTATCATGCGATTGGCTGAATCATTAATTTGTGAATTGGTCTATCAAAAGCGTAGACTCGTAACTCCAGCGCTGTGTTTCGGGCAACGAGTTTTCTCGCATTGGTCCATTCAGACGTTTGGCCAAGCCCTATCTTGTCGGGAAGCGGCGCTGCCTACTTTGTCCTCATTGTGGACGACTTCTCTCGATTTATCTGGGTGTACCCACTTCAGAAACATAGCCACCTGTACGCCGCATATGTGACATTTCGAGTAGCAGCGATGTCAATTTTCAAATCTGACATTAAACCTTTGGAACACAATCTATCCACTTGCTCAGCAACCAATTGGAAATGTTTTTATGCCACGGTATTTTCTATGCTGCATATCGCATGATGAAATATCGAGTTCCGGATTAAAGGCTTGATGGCTGACTTGAAGTATGATAACAAATGTTTTGAGTGGAATGTAGAAGAATTCACGTTGTTGCTGATTCGTCTAATATTGTCATGACGATATGCGTTGACCAGAATTATATATCTCAATCTCGCACTTGTTTGTGCTAGGAACCGCTTGTAATTGCCTCCAAAGACATCGCGAGTACGTTTCTTGAATGGAATCCGCTGTTCGCTAGCCAAGCCGAGGGCCATGAGTTTACTCAATTCTACCTCAAAAGGTCTTATGTGCCATCGGACCTTGAGTGGTCTATCTTGAGTATCCTGGATGACGACGTCCAAGTAGAAAAGCTGAAGCACCCCGAACTCTACTCGGTCGTCGCGGACGTGACTGGTGATGACCAAACGCGCGCGACACAAGGCGATCGTTACTCACATCCAATCCGTGAAGAATGCTACTCTGAAGACGGAAACTGCCAAGGCGCTGTCTTGACTACGTGTTCTGGGGCTATCGTTCCTCAACTCGTCGATGGTGGACTCTCTGCGGAAACTGTTCTCCAACATTTCCTGGCCTTTTACTCTTTTTGAGCCAATTGTGTCTCGGTTCGAGAATAACCCACTCACTAGTGACCCTGCGGTGCTTAATGTTCAATCCCAGAAGATCAAGTACCATGATGAACGCCATCGTGACATCCATTTGATGACATTCTAGATTGAAGATTGCGATAAGGGCGAATAGAAATCGTAGCACCTCGAGACGCACAACTGGTGCATATATCTCAGAGTAATCAACACGATGTTGTTGCATAAATCCCTTGACTACAACGCGGGCTTTGTAAATGCCACCAGGCTTGGTGCGAAATACCCAACGACAGGCGAGGATCGTCAACTTGCTGTCACGACAGACTAGTTCGTACGTCCCATTGGACAACAGAGAATTATACTCGTCCG